AAAATATGATTCACTTTCTGAGTAACTTCCCAGAAGTAGATCTACTGGGTGAAGTTGGGTTAATTCTTACCCAGAAAAGGGCTGGACTAGAGGGAGATTTAATCTGAGGTTCCAGAGGCTCACCCTAAATGGCTTCAGGATTAGCCCGTTGGAAGTTTGCTGCCATTCATGTTATTTATCACCTGTGTTACTTTTCCTCTTCGTTGGCTCCAAAGCCTGAACGTTAACTGCATATAAAGATATAAAATTCTTTGGGGAAAAAGAAAAATGATCAGCCTAAACCCTTCAGTATCTGAGTTTACTAGATGACAACCCCAAAGTCTGCTGCTAATAAAATTTCAATTGCACTCCTGGTACAAACTGTGTCTGAACACTGGTGAAGAGCCAGCTCTATTGTCCTTGTCCTGGAGCCTGGCTAACAGCCCACTGTGCCTTCAAAGCATTCACTCGTGAATAATTAGAACTTGGACCTGTGTGTGTGTCTTGACACACACTGATATGCATGTAACTCTACAGCCGTGAAATGGAATCAAAAGAGAAAGAAATAGCTTGAATGTACTTTGAGAAGACAAGTGAATACTTTAAGGGCTTCTTTATCTTCAGAATGTGATAGCATCCGTGTGTGTTGTTTAACAGTTCCCTTTGGCAACTGTTCACGGGCTTACATGCTGTGACTGTAAGAGGGAATGGTCTGGGAGATTGGTCAGTTCCTGGCATGCTGACGATGATACAGTTTCCAGCCATGGAGCTGCCCCTCTGATGATGAGCCCTGCCTCCCATTACCACAGCAGGGTCTTGGTCACCAAGGGCTAAATCTCTTTGGAACTTCCTGTTAGGTAGCTTCCCGCATGAACACTGCTACCCGGGAGTCCTCGTGAACACTGGAGACGGAAAATGGTCCCATGCCAAAGCGATGCTTTGTGCCAATGACATAGGCCCCTTGGTCAGATGTAATAGGAACGCTCTGAGTTCATAGAGAAAATTTAATAACTAGAGTTCAGAGCAGAGAGCAATACTTTTGTTTCTAAAGCACCTTTGCAATATGGGGAAAACAATAGCCAAACCTCTGAAAAGTCTCTTCAATCCACATGCAGTATCTGTTCGCCGACATCGCCTCAGAGTCCTGCTTGCCGGACCCCAGCCCCCCAAATTAAGAGAGTGATGGGTGATGGTGATGCTGAAGAAGGGAGGCAACTGCCGAGAGAGGAAAGTGGGGAGGGACCGAGCCTACCGAACTCTTTCTTCCCTGCCTTTCCTTAGTTTCCACGTTCGGAAGTGATTATAAAAGACAAGGCTGGAGGGAAAAGTATGAAGGAGTCTTCTCCCTGCAAAATCCACCTGCTTATGATTTCCTCTTCACGGCCTCCTCATCTCTATTCTCTGTCCCATTCCCCAGATCGAAGGGAAGCTGCTTTGGTAGCTCAGTGTTCCAGGGAGAGGGGTGCATTTCAAAGGATACCCTTGAAAGTCAAAACCAAAGGGAATGTGGCTATCATTATGGGCAGACCAGCATCCCAGGGTGCAGGGCACTCTTCATGTCCCAAGGCTCTGGGAATGTCTCCCCTTGAGTAGAGGCCAGGAAACAGGGGCCCTACAGTTCAGCTCTGCTTTAGGGTCATAAATTGACCTCTTCAACATCAATATCGAGCTGCGAATCAGGTCTAGTGCCAGCTAGGCACTCCAGGCTGTTAATCCTAGGGAGGCAGCTCTGTTGGCACTCATCCCTCCCCTGATTGACTGAGCTTTGGGAAGGAGGCCTGGTTATGGTGTAGGCAGCTGTTCCTGAAAACCAAAGAGCTCTGTGAAGATACTGCACAACTCCAGGTCTGGGTTTAAGGTAAAGGCATCTGTTGGTGAGGTGTGGCTTGAGAAACAACAGTCCTAGCCTATCAGGAATGGGTAGGGGCAAGGCAAATGAGAGCTAGCAACCAATGCTGAGGGATCAGTAGAACAGATTCTTTCTCAGGGATCCCTTTGCTGGCCTCTATGAGTATCTGCATGCACATCCCTGTCGCAAGAGGAACAAAGGAAAGGCATAGTTTCCAAAAGCCTAAAAATAAAATCAGAATTCTCTCTGGAATTGCCCTCAGACCCCAGAGCATGTGTGAAAATAGTTAAAATACAATAAAAATAACCAAACTATAGGACAAGGCATTTAAAATGTAGCAACAGAACACAAGAGACAAGCAAATAGCCTACTTCTACTTTTCCTTGAATTTATTTTCATTCTGGACCCTCCAGCACCACCCTTTTTACCTAATAGCTCTGTTAATGCAAATATCTTTTCTCAATTAGCTTCTAAGATTATTCAATGGCAAGGTAAGAAATGAATTCTTGTTGTAGCTTCCCATCAGGGTCAGGTAATATCATCCTATATAATAAAAGGCTAATATGCAAAATGACCAGATGGCAGGTCGCTATGACATGCACTGATCACCAGGGGGCAGATGCTCGATGCAGGAGCTGCCGCTGGTGGTCAGTGTGCTGCCCCTGTGGGAGCGTTGTTCAGCTAGAAGCCAGGCTTGCTGTTCTTGAGCACTGCCTCAGAGGCGGGAGAAGCTCCCGCCACCGCCCCTGCTCTCAGAAGCCAGGCTCATGGCTGGCAAGCGCAGTGGCAGTGGTGGGAGCCTCTCCTGCCTCTGCTGCAGATGGGTGGTAAGGAGCAAGGGGTCCCAGACTGCAAGAGCCCCGGACTATGAGAGGGATGTCTGACTGCCGGCTGAGGGACCCCCACCCCCACCCAGTGCACGGATTTCGTGCACCAGGCCTCTAGTTATAAAATATTACACCAAATTTAAGAAAGGAGTGTGAAACAGATTTCATTTAAATTCTACTATATGGCTGATTAAAATCCTTCTATATGCATCCTTATTTTCTTACCATATTTAATGATTCAGTATGAAAGCCCTGTTTTAAAACTTTTTGTTTGTTTCTAACAAGTAAATACTGTAAAAAAAACTTCCATTTGCCATTTTCAGTGAAACGCTAAATTGTTTTGCCCATTGGAACTTAGTTTACGTGGCTCTAGATGAAATTGTCAATACTATTTCCCCGGGGTGCAGACACCTCAGAGATATTAACCCTCCTTTACCTTCATTGTCAAGTGATACGTTGCTTTTAACCAAAGGTCAGTTGGTCCTTCCTGGCAACACAGTGGAAATAGACTTACCAGTTTTCCCTCCTGAGACTTGCTGTTAGCTACCTAAAACATAATTAACAACAGCCTGCCAGGCAACAAGGGCATTTTTTGCTTCATGTACGGAGAGTTTAGGTGCCTCCAATTTAATAGGGGCCACAGAGCTAGTTATCAAATTGACAATTTTGACCTGACCTCGAAAAGTGGCTGTAAAACGATGGCTAGTAAATTAAGATAAATGCCAAGTCCCTCTGAGGAAACAGGCCTATGTAATAACTATCAAATGGGCATTCGGGTTTGAGGCCAAGATTTCACAAGAAGGCTATAAATACCAGCCTGGGCACGAGGGAAGACGTGCGCTCAGTTTTATTGTATACACAACATCACAGTGACTCACTTCCCTCAGCATTACGCTTGGCTGGAGATTTTAAATTCCTTTTTAAAAACAAGACTATTGTACCACAGGGTAAAGATTTTATTATCCTCAATAATGGGATTGAATATGCCAAGGTGGAGAAGCAGAAAATGAGATCTGTTGATGCCGGTGCCAAGACAGGGGGTTACTGAAAAACACGATGGGTCACATTGATGCATTGATGGGAGGCCCATTGGGGAAGTGCCTGGCTCCAACCAAGAGAGGTGAGAGAAGTCCAGCTACATCTGGTCTCCGACAGTAGAATGGAGTGAGAACATGGGCCTCTACTATTCCAGCATTACTGGAATGCTAACCCAGGAGGCAAAGGCGCTGTGGATTTAAGCAAAGAGGTCACTAATCTTGATGTCTCCCTCAGAGGCCATTGCCAAATAATGCTGAGAGGCCAGAAGTCACCACCTGCTTGATTCATCATCTTTGAATAACAAAACTTGGTCAAACAGATTCCTGGAGACCAAATACAAGCCATAAACTTTCAACCTAAATTTTCTTTTGTTAAATTCCTTATTGTTGAAAGTATTACAGATTTGATTTTGATCAACTGCAGGGGGAGTTCATATGACTCTGTGCCTTCTTTCATTTTTCCTACTCATTCAGACTTGTTCCTACCGTGTTTGCTTCCGTCTGTCTCTCAGATTTATTGCTTCCTGCACTGATATTTAGGGAAGGAAACATAAAAGAGGATGTGATTTAAGTTCCTGTCAATGCTCAAAGTAAATACAGTGCCTCCTTCTCCCTAAAGCCCTCCACTTGGCCAGACTTAAATGAGATGATGAGATGTAACTCAGGACCCTCTGCCCACTGCCTTCCTCTGTGCTGACCTCCAGCCAGCTTTGTGGGGATGACAAGCAAAATGATAGACTAGGCATCTCCTCTGGTGTGTCCCACCAACCAAGGGAAACAGATACTCTGCAAACTACACCAACAACTTTAAACTGTCGCTCTACACAATCCCCAAGAGACATAGGCCCAAGTCTACTCAGTTTTCTCTAGGCCAGTGGTTCTCAACGTTCCTAATGCCGCGACCCTTTAATACAGTTCCTCATGTTGTGGTGACTCCCAACCATAAAATTATTTTCGTTGCTACTTCATAACTGTAATTTTGCTACTATTAGGAATCGTAATGTAAATATCTGATATGCAGGATGTATTTTCATTAGCAAAAATCCACCCAGTTCTCTTAAGCCAGGAGGGAGCACAAAGATCTTAGCTCTTCTGGCTGCCCTTTGACGAGCCATTAACATTTCTGATTCACCCAAGAACAGGCCTCTCTCTCCACCGGAGAAGTCATTGGCATTTACTTGACACTGGTCACACTAGGGCTGGTTCTACTTCCCCTGACCCAGTAAGTTGCCCATAACCAAGCTGGTTCCCCTCTTTAAAGAGATCCATCTTTCAAACTTTTGATCTGGTCTTTTTCTGCCCCCTCAGGTCATGGATTATATGGGACTTTTGAAATGTTATCCTCCTGGAGAAAAACTAGAGAAGACCAACACGTTAAAGAGAGAACTGCAGAGGTCTATGCCGACTCCATGCTCTCCTTTTCTCTCACCACTGCCATGTACCTGGTCACCTTTGGCATAGGGGCCAGCCCTTTCACGAACATTGAGGCAGCCAGAATCTTCTGCTGCAATTCCTGTATTGCAATCCTTTTCAACTACCTCTATGTACTGTCATTTTATGGTTCCAGCCTGGTATTCACTGGCTACATAGAAAACAATTACCAGCATAGTATCTTCTGTCGAAAAGTCCCAAAGCCCGATGTATTGCAGGAGAAGCCGGCATGGTACAGGTTCCTCCTGACAGCCAGATTCAGCGAGGACACAAGTGACGGTGAGGAAGCAAACACTTATGAGAGTCACCTGTTGGTATGTTTCCTCAAACGCTATTACTGTGACTGGATAACCAACACCTATGTCAAGCCTTTTGTAGTTCTCTTTTACCTTATTTATATTTCCTTTGCCTTAATGGGCTATCTGCAGGTCAGTGAAGGGTCAGACCTTAGTAACATCGTAGCGACTGCGACACAAACCATTGAGTACACTACTGCCCAGCAAAAGTACTTCAGCAACTATAGTCCAGTGATTGGGTTCTACATATATGAGTCCATCGAATACTGGAACACTAGTGTCCAAGAAGATGTCCTGGAATACACCAAGGGGTTTGTTCGGATATCCTGGTTTGAGAGCTATTTAAATTACCTTCGGAAACTCAATGTGTCCACTGGCTTGCCTAAGAAAAACTTCACAGACATGTTGAGGAACTCCTTTCTGAAAGCCCCCCAATATTCGCATTTTCAAGAGGACATCATCTTCTCTAAAAAGTACGATGAGTTCGACGTAGTGGCCTCCAGAATGTTTTTGGTGGCTAAGACCATGGAAACCAACAGAGAAGAACTCTACGATCTCCTGGAGACCCTGAGGAGACTTTCTGTCACCTCCAAGGTGAAGTTCATTGTTTTCAATCCATCCTTCGTGTACATGGATCGATATGCCTCCTCTCTGGGCGCCCCCCTGCACAACTCCTGCATCAGTGCTTTGTTCCTGCTCTTCTTCTCGTCATTCCTGGTGGCAGATTCCCTGATTAATGTCTGGCTCACTCTAACGGTCGTGTCCGTGGAGTTTGGAGTTGTAGGTTTCATGACCTTATGGAAAGTCGAACTAGACTGCATTTCCGTGCTATGCTTAATTTATGGAATTAACTACACAATTGACAATTGTGCTCCACTGTTATCCACATTTGTTCTTGGCAAGGACCTCACAAGAACTAAATGGGTAAAAAATGCCCTGGAAGTGCACGGGGTAGCTATTTTACAGAGCTACCTCTGCTATCTTGTTGGTCTGATTCCTCTCGCAGCTGTGCCTTCAAATCTGACCTGTACACTGTTCAGGTGCTTGTTTTTAATAGCATTTGTCACCTTCTTTCACTGCTTTGCCATTTTACCTGTGATACTGACTTTCCTGCCACCCTCTAAGAAAAAAAGGAAAGATAAGAAAAATCCTGAAAACCGGGAGGAAATTGAGTGTGTCGAAATGGTGGATATGGATAGTACCCGAGTGGTTGACCAGATCACAACAGTGTGAGAGTGTCTGCTTGTTATATTTTCACCCTAGGTCTTACGAAGAGCAAAGCGATGATGCTAATGAAACAGATTTAGAGTTTTTCTTTCTTTTGTAAGGGTAAGAAACAGGCATTGATTGCCAAAAGAAAGTAAAGGACAAGGGGGGGAAATGGGCATTGCATATTTTCAACCTTTTAAACAAAAGGTTGTTATCAGAAAGACTTTACACACACACACACACACACACACACACACACACACATGGAGACTTATAGTCTCCTAAACTAAGATCAGATAGAAGAAAGCTTAAGAGCAAGCAGAATCCCATTTTATTCACACTGCAGATGTTGCTGGTATTGTGACAAAAACCTACTGATTGAAAGGTCAGCTGCCAAGGCAGAAATAGCTTTAAGCATTGTTCAAACAGTAAGGCTTCCAGAACTTCTGCAGAGCAGTAGCTCCAGGCAGGCTCTGTGGTTTGAGGTTTCAGTCATCTCATCTAGCTCCCCGACACCCCAAGGAGATGCTTGTGAAAGCTCTGGCCAGCAAAAGCAAGCCAGACCTTCAGAAGCAGACACATGGTGGAGTAGCCATCACCAGGGGCTGAAATCGAGTCACCTCTCAATTCCCCCAGATGAGGCAGTTTTGTTGTGTAGAATGAATTGATCCTATTTTCACATTTGTCTGGTTCAGTTACTATACCTTTAAACCAGTGACAGCTCCAGCAATGCAGAGTTGGGCGATTCTATTTTGGAATATCCTGTTGCTTGTCACCAAATGGATCTGCTTTATTAGTTACAGCTCTTGGCAGGAGGCTCTGAGTACCCAAAACCACAGAGCCAAACCCAAATACCTGGCACGACGGAGGACAAGCAGGTGTCTACTTGAACCCAGGGACAGTGTTTCCATTTTAAGAAAAAAATGGCCAGCTGGTACAGCTGTTCGTGGTCTGGCCCTGCATGCATTTTGTGCGTGGATGCCCAGAAACAAAACCTGCCCACGCCTAGCTAAGGAAGGAGAAAGGAACACTGAGATGCTTATCTGCCATAGCCTCCAAACTGTAGTGCCAGTGCGCCTGCGCCAGGAGACATGCCTGTTCAGAGACCCGGAGGACACAAGGTGCTTTGGTGGGCGCAAGTCCTGAAGCTGAGAAACTTCGAGAAAGCGCAGGCAGGGAGATACAGAATGGAAAGGGAGATAGATGGAATGGCCGGAAGATGTAATCTCTGATATAAATCTATCAATGATGACAGTCACACTTTCCTGCTAAACTGGCTGCACTTTCATCTTCCTGCCCCGCCCCAAGCCTTCGTTACTGCCCGTCTACTTCATCGCATGGCCCGTCTGCACGTCAATGAGCCTAGATGCTTATACTGTTGACTTGCAGTATCTGCAGGATCTAAACAGAAAAGGTTTGATCTGCAGAGGCTATGTATGTTGCCCCAGACCCCTGCGTTTCTTTAAGTCTGTACAAATTAAGCTAAAAGCTGGTCACATTTGAGGCAACTGTCTACAGTGTTTTTTCCCTTTTAGAGATGTAGCTTACTTAGACATCTATAGTGATAAGCATTTCCCAAAAGCACCTTACCTTTTTGAACTTTAGCGGATGTACTGTGCAACTTTCCCATCCTCCACAGAGGAGGAAACTGAGACCTAGGAGGATAAAGCGACTCACCCAGGGTCACACCACTAGAGGGTTTCTATCATTTTAGCATGTCTAAGACAGGGCAGGCCAATTTTAGATTTTCTCATAAGAGGGCTATTACTCCCTTCAAAGTACATTTCCAAGGAAGGAACACGGGACTTTGTTGGCCACAGGGCAGGCTTTTTTTTTTTTTTTAACGTCTGGGTAATTGTTTGGGATTTAGATTTGCCACTGTCTTTCCAAACAGCAAAAATGCCCAAATGATTCAGATGTATTCCACCAAGTGCAAACCTGTGTTTTCTATTTCATGTACTGTTGTTCACACAGCTGTAAATACATGTGCAGGGGATCATCACTAGTCCATTACACACTTGTCCAATCTCTCCTGCAGACACACAAAGCGATCATACCAGCATGGTATGTGCTCAACTAGAAGATAATGAGCTTTAATCTGAGGACAAACACAGTCCTCAAAAAAGGGCAAGTTCACATAATAGATCTGCGATCAATTCTCTCTCCAAGGGGCCTGCGACAAGGCTATTATTTATCAAACACGGCTGAAGAGGGGATTGCTTTTATTCTTAAATCATATGTTGCTAAATCATTTTCTGAACAGTGTGTTCTAAATCAGCCATGGATTTAGTGTCGGCCACGTGGAGCACCTCGGGTTCAAACGACTCCACAAAACTGATACGACGCACTCACCGATTAAGCGGATTTTGTTGAGAATTTAATCATTCAATGTGGTCAACCGGAAGGACTTACTGTGGAACTTTGTTTTACGACAGTTTTCCAACTGGATTGAGACTCTGTATTCCTTGGGATAATGTACTTTTAAATGAAGGGACTTTTCAACCTTATCAACTTCTCTTTTCAACACTTGAAATCAAGGCTTATGAAATTCTGACTGTGGAATGACTTTTCTTTTTTTTTACTGGGGGACTCTGCATGCCAAGATTTATTACCGATTATTTATTGTTAGATCATTATTTAATTGTTAATAATGATTATTGATTATTGCTCTGACAGCATTGGTTTAGCCCCAGCTTAACCCCACCATGGAGAAGACACTTTAGAAGTAACTCAAAATCACATCCATATAAAATTTGTCTTTACTTCATGAAGTTTTACTTTTTCAATTGCTATAAAGAGGGAAAGAACGACCCTAGCAAACACTTGGAAAAGTTTTAGTTTTCAATTAATTCCAACCAAGGCGTTAATATTCACTTTACCAAAGAAACTCATTTGGTTGGTTTTGAGTTGGTGTTTGTTTACCAAAGAAAATATTCCATTCATCACAAACATTTCTCCTGGTCAACTTTTAAAAAACTGTGATACTTGGGCTTTCTTGGCCACTAATAAGGAAAAAAAAAAAGTCAGGGTAAGGATTATATTCTCTCAGCAGAAGACATAAATTCCCAAGACACTTGGGTTTTGCAAGACAGAAAATGATACTTGAAATGGGGCATTATTGTTTAGCAATGGTCCAATACGTAGCATAAGGGCTCCTCAGGCTAAAAGGACTACATGTGTTCCACAGAAAACAAGACAAACCCTCATGAAACTCCCTCTCCATTGTTCCAGCTCGTACGTTTCGTCCTGGTTTGGTTTTGGGGTTGGAGGTTTTCTGGCTTTTGTTTTGCTGTGGTTTGGTTTGTGGTGTTTGTGTTTGGCTGTCTTGTTCTCACCTTTCCTACCACTTTTACCCCTTCAATTTTCAATGAAAAGTGAAATAATCCGAAACCATCCTCCATGGCTGCAGTTATGTATGCAATATACTGCTCTATACACGGCCCTTGATGACCCTTTCATTGTAACTAACCACCACCCAACTGTTCTAAGTGGTATTCTTGGACCCTAACACCACTTTCCTCCAGCCCCAGCTGTGTCTATCTCAACAACAGGTGGGCTGGGCAGCCACCTTGGGGGTTTGGCAAGAGGCAGAGCCTTTTGGACACAAATGGTACCCTCTTCCCAATGGCTTTATTCCTTCGGATCCTATTAAAGTAGTCCTGCAGCTTGTAGCAGTGTCTGTGACTCTCTGCTTTCTCGTCTGTAAAATGGGGATAATGACTGTCATTATCTTTAAATCCAGCAAATCCTTACTGAGTGCCTAATATCACCTAGGTCAGTGATGGCGAACCTTTTGAGCTCAGCGTGTCAGCATTTTGAAAAACCCTAACTTAACTCTGGTGCCGTGTCACATATAGAAATTTTTTGGTATCTGCAACCATAGTAAAACAAAGATTTATATTTTTGATATTTATTTTATATATTTAAGTGCCATTTAACAAAGAAAAATCAACCAAAAAAATGAGTTTGCGTGTCACCTCTGACACGCGTGTCATAGGTTTGCCATCACTGACCTACATCCTGTTCAAGACTGGGACAGAAGTGAACAAATCAGATCAAGCCAGCCACCCTTGGAGAGCCTACATTTGGGTGATGATGCAGAGTCACTGGAAGGATTAAGTGAGATGATACATTCATGGCAAGACCTAGCGTACAAAAGTAACTGAAGACATGATTATTTGTAATGTGTCTGTTCCACAGTGGGGCTCAACATGCACAGCTACAGAGAAGTAGATTTCTGTAGACTTGGGCCCAGGATTAGGGCTACAGAAAGATGCCGTCAGCTGTCCTGGTCATTTTAGGACATTTGAAATTCAGCTAGATCACCACTCAGTAGGGCAATTGTAAAGGGGGCTTAAGCTCCAGATGTTGGAGTTGGATTTCAACCCTTGAAGGAACGGAATCCAGGGACTTCGGGATGGGAGCAGGGAAGGGAGGGCACTTACAACTTAATTACTATGCCCAGCTTGTCTGGAGACATTTGAACATTCCTTTTGGGCAATTTGCTTTGAAGTTTGTGCTACCGAAAAAGCGCCAGGTATTTAAAAACAAAGTTCCCATTTATTGAAAAGCAGGGTAACGCTGTGACACAATGGAAAAGATTGAATTAGTACTACTGGAATCGCTGGCAAAAAACTGAGAATGGCTTCGGCCATTGCAGAGTTCCTCCCTATGGTGGTTAAAACTGTTTCTTTCTGTGTCATGCCAGTCCGGGGGACGGCAAAGAGGAAAGTGAATGGGCTCAAATCCGTTCACCTCAATAGGCAGCATGAGGCTATCCATTTGAGGGCGCTGTGCAGGGAAGAGGAAGTTAGGGGACCAGAGAGCGATGGCCTCTGTGTAAATCTTTCAAGTTAGATTAAAATTAGCACAGCAAGGGTTCGGAGGAACCTACCCAGTGAGGAAAGAAGGCTTTTCAAAGTACAAAGAAAACCATGTGTACAGAGGTGGCAGCCCACAGAGCAAGCTCAGTGAAAGGAATGCAGCTCCTGTGGAATGTGCCAGCCTCTTCCACTCTGCGGTGTTGACACCACGTGAATCTTTGGGTAGAATTAAGCTTACCCCCTCATTTTTAACGTCAGGAAAGGGAAATCTGGAGAAGTGAAATCCCATGCACAGAGCTAGCTAGAAGCAGACACAGGACTATAACTGAAGTCTCCTAGTTCCTAGTCTCAGTACTTTCTCCCCACTTGCCACTTTACTACCAAATTCTGTGTATCTCAATGATGGGGTCTCAACCTGGGGTCTGTGAATGAGTCCGTGGGAGGCTGGGACTCTGAGCTCCCTAAAAATAAATTATATGCAAAAATATGCACATATGTCCAGTGCAGTTCCTGGTTGTCATCCGTTCCCCAAAGAGGTCTTTGATCCAAAAAGAGTGAAGAACCACTGTCCTAAATTCATAAAGACCTCAATGGGAGTGGGATCCTGGTGTCCTCATTTGGACCAATGGGAAGTCAAGAATTTCTCCACCATCTTTTCTCTAAGGAGCCAAAACTGCTGCCAAATATTGGTTTCTTCCTGCTCAGCCAAGTGTCCACTTCCATTCATTTGTTCCTTATTCCTTTATTCTGCAAGCATATTTTGACTGTCCAGTCTATGTTCCAGCACCCGTTAAGTATGCTTCCAGGAGAGAACTGGGGAAAGGACCCCGCTGTGCTGTGCTCTTCATG